ACAGTTTGGACTGGCTCTATTCTGCCTCCACACCACTGATGAGGTAAATATGTTTGGAAGAGTACTAAGGAGCTTATTCACATGAGAATTATACCTCAAGTTCCATAATTATTATCAAGATGTAAGTGATTATCCTATAATTACAGTAAATTATTGCAATAAAAAAAAACATAGTAGTCAAAATACTTTTGTTTAGTTCATATTAATGGGCTTAAATGTAAGTTATTATATTATTATTATGGAAATAAAATTTGTTTACCCGTAAGCTCATTTCTTATGGAAACTGAAAAAAAGTAATGGATAATCTCTAATTTAACATACCCAGATTTTACAAATATAATAAAGATGGGTTGCTATGTTCTGGTAAAAAGAGCAGTGAGAGAAATAAACCAGGGACTATTTGTTACAGAGTCATGTGCAGGATGAAGTGTCAGCATTTAACCCACAACATGTTCCACCTCATGGGACACAGTCTGACATGAAGAAAGAAGAACTTGTTTCAAGAATGAATCTCCCAACTGTAAAGAAGAAAGTTATGTCTCAAAGGTATTTGTGTTGCCAAATACATGAAAAAGTAGAGGAAGGAATTAGCACGAAGCACCTTATTGAAGGCAGAGACATGATAAATTTATTGTATTTTGAGAGGATGAAAGTTAGGATAATTTTGAAAAGAAAAAGTTAACCAAGTACTTATTTACCAAACATTTTAATATCTCATTGGGTATATATTGTTTATGTACTATTTTTTTTACAGCATAGGTTGGCTTGAGAATAAAGTGCTGACAAATGGTGAAGAAGCAAATGCTAGTAATCCCTTCACTTCCCCGGTCTCTCGAGCAGCTCGTCTTGTGGTCATGGCAACAAAGCCAGCAAGTAGGAGTTAGATATAAAAAATGTGTGTGTGTGTGTGTGTGTGTGTGTGTGTGTGTGTGTGTGTGTGTGTGTGTGTGTGTGTGTGTGTGTGTGTGTGTGTGTGTGTGTGAATGAGTGAGTGAGTGAGTGAGTGAGTGAGTAATAACATTTATGATGATGGCAATACCGATAGCAGTCAAATAATAATATCATGATTGCTATTGTTATGATTGTTTTATTATTATTATCATTATTATTATTGTTGCTGTTATTATTTATTATTATTATTATTGTTGTTGTTGTTAATACTATCATCTTTATTATTATTATTATTACTAAATTGTTATTATCATCATCACTCATTTTTGATTATGTAATGATGATGGCCATTGGGATTCATAGTGCAGTCTCTGCTTGTGTTTTCTCTTTCCATTTGTCAGATAATTTCCTTTCAGGTAAGGAGAGTGTGGCTTCCCACAAGGCCAGTCTGGAATGTGAAGCTCTGGACTTCCTTATATCTCTTAATTTGAATATTCAGGAAATCAATTCTTTAAAAGTATCTGGTAAGGATTGTTATATTTATGTTTATTATTTATAAATTTTTATTTGGGCTGTGGTTTGAGTTCATGTATATGCAAAAATGACATGCATTGTCCACTAATAGGCATTCCTGAGAGAAGTTAGGAAGAATCACTTGTTTTTATCATATTCAAGAATATGTGGAGCTTTTGACCAATATTTAGCTCCATTAGCCATTATGATTATATTTCAAGTTCATCTAGGACAAACTGGAGGCCATGTAACAGAATGTAGGGGGCTATAATCATATAGTTTTGGGCATATAGTTGAGGGAACTGACGGTTTATTACTGGTTTGTGTAAAGTTTTGCTGCCAGATACATAAGTAATACATCCTTCTTTTCTTTCTTTCTTCTTCTCTTTTTTTCTTTCTTTCTTCTCTTCTCTTCTCTTCTCTCTCTCTCTCTTCTCTCTCTCTCTCTCTCTCTCTCTCTCTCTCTCTCTCTCTCTCTCTCTCTCTCTCTCTCTCTCTCCTCTCTCTCTCTCTCTCTCTCTCTCTCTCTCTCTCTCTCCCCTCCCTCTCCTCCCTCCCTCCCTCCCTCCCTCTCCTCCCTCCCTCCCTCTCTCCCTCTCTCTCTCCCTCTCTCCCTCCTCTCCCTCCCCTCCCCTCCCTCCCTCCTCTCTCTCTCTCTCCTCTCTCCTCTCTCTCTCTCTCTCTCTCTCTCTCTCTCTCTCTCTCTCTCTCTCTCTCTCTCTCTCTCTCTCTCTCTCTCTCTCCCTGTCTGTCTGTTTGTCTTATGTGTTCTTGACATAAAGCAAGACATTGAGATGTATTATGACAGTAAATAATCTAATCTTAACATAATTCTAAGTTTCCCTAAGCTGTTTTATTTTGTTCTTTGTTTGTTGTTGGAACAGCTGTTCAGAATAGTGCCATTTTTTAATTGCTCTGATGGAAGACATTTTTTATGTGCATTATGTTATTTCTGTTTTATTTTGTTCTTTGTTTGTTCTTGGAACAGCTTTTCAGAATGCCATTTTTTAATTGCTCAGATGGAAGACATTTTTTATATGCATTATGTTATTTCTTTAATACTGGTTCAATAATTATATGAGGTGCAGTAAAAGCAAACTACAAATTTCTTTATTAATAATTAACAAAAGAAAAAAATAAACAAATGGAATCAATAAAATTACAGGATTTGCTTGAGTGGTTTTTATAATGAGTGTAGAACTGTCTACAGTTCTACACTAATGGGTTATGCCTGGCAGTAGGCCATGGGCAAGGACCATGTATGAAAAGTGGGTAACAACATGAAAAAAATTGGGAACTACTGATCTAGAAGAATAGCATTTAATGTAATTGCTTAAATTATCATAGTATTATTCACTACAACTGATGTTTCTTTATTTTCTAAGGTGTTCGTCAGCAGTTTGAACAGCATAGGCAGAAAGTGTTAAACCATGATGAAAAAATTATATTTAAAGATATTGCTTTGGATTATGCTAAGAATAGATTAGAAAGTCTAGAAAAGAAGGTTGAAAAGTCCATAGAAAGTGATACTTGGAAGAACAAAAGTACATCAACAAAGCAACAGAAACATTTAAAAAAAGAAAAAGAAAATAAGTTCAAAGGTAACATTCCAAAACAGAACATGAGCAAAAACAGTGATGAAGAGAAGAGAAAAACATTAGCTGCCATGAGCAAACAAATAAACAAGCCAGTTAATCTCCCTGTACAGAAGAGTTCTCATGGAAAATTTACATTTAAAAAGATAGAGGCTCCTGGAAGTTCTCTAGCATTACTGAAGAAGTCACCAGTCAGCAGAAAAGAACAACGAAAGAGTGATAATGACCTTAAAACTCAGTCGCCCTCAGGTTTGTCTCGTAATGAGCTGGCTCTCTCTGATGCCAAAGTTACCACTACCAAAAGTTCAAGGGGCCGGCCTAAGAAGTCAGTCACCCCAAAGATGAGAGACGGCAAACAGCCAACAGTAAACACATGGATAACACCCGTGGCCAAAAGAAAGAGAGAAGAGTCTCACTTCTCTGATTCAGCTCAAGCTTCTCAGAAATTTTCAAAGGAGTTAGATGACATAAGCAGCGGCCTCATTTGGACTGACAGTGATGATGATGATGATGTGAAAGGTAAGAAGCAAGGAGGAGGATTTATGGATGACGCTTCATTAGTGTTTCCTAGACACACACAGTCTGGTAATGTCTTGGGCACTGTCCCATCTGACAAGTTTGGAGTGACACAGGCCAGGAAAAAGTCGAGAGGAGGTAGCTCAGACCACACCCAATCTGCAGTTTCAAGCAATAGCCACTCTTCAACAATGATGGAGTGCCCATTGTGTTCAGGTAATTTTAAAAGGTATTGTATAATTTCTTTAGTAATTTCAGATAAATTTTCCATAATTTGGGTTTCTCAGTGTGGATCTTAAAAGTTCTATAATTTCTCTTTAGGTTTCTTCCCTCCATCAAAGATCCAGTCACATGCTTCTTCATGTGGTATTGTGATATCCTCAGATTCTGACTCAGATTCTGACTGTGGATATAGAAGAAGCAGTGGCAATGAACAAAATAAGGTAGGGTTTTTTTTTTCAGTTTCTTCCCTTTTTTGAAGTTGTTTCATTTTATTTAAATAAGGCAGTCACTTTCTACTTTCTTTTTCCTTCCTTTTTAAAAGTTATTTTATTTTATTTATATTTTCATAGTACTTTATTACTAAAATATCCAACTACTATATAACCTAATATTAAACAGATGAATGACACAGGGAAATACTATACAGTACATTTAATATAGCAATATTTCCAGCAGAGAGGCAGCCTGGAAGAGTGTCCTGTATGTGGTGAATTCATCAACAGTTTGGACCTGCAAGAACATGCAGCAGAATGTGCCAGTACGACATTTGGTTGAAAAAGATTCAACTCTAAAATTTTTTATATTTTTTTATTGTAAAATTTATGTTCAATATTAAAAGAGAAGAATATGTAACTCAAAATGAATATCAGCATTTTGTGTGATGAAGATTTAGAATTTATACTATGTACTGTATGAGTTACACTTCTAAAGAAAATATTGAAAAAAAAATTTAAAACGAGAAACATTTTATGAATACATATTTATATTATTTACATAATGAAATGACTTGCATGTAACCTGTAAAGTTTTAAGTAAACATTTTATGAGTGTTTTTACTGGTTTTATTATAGTTTGTTAACTGGTACATTTAGCAATGCAGAATACACAAAATATTCTTTATTTGGATTATACGCAATATCAAGGAGCCAGTGGTTTGTAGTAACTCAAAGGGCAAACTGTAATCCAAGTCTACATGGAAAATCTGAGTAAAAAATAAAACAGAAATTATATAATGTTCTTGGTATGTTCAGTAATTTTAGAAGTAACATCTCATTTCATGTTGAACTTGGACAATAACAAGCATATGAACCAAAAGTAACAAGGTTGCTTAAAGTGTGTCAAGAGAATTAAAAAGCATTGCAACAAACTGCCAGGAAAAGGATACAACAGCAAGGATAACAAAGGGTTTTTTTTGTTTCCTTTTTAACATTCAAATGTGGAACCTTCAAGGAAAAGAAAAAAATGATAAATATATTATCTTTA